TGTTGTTCTTCTCTTTTTTTTTGTTTTTTTTTTTTTTTTTTTTTTTGTACAATTGAGATAAATACTAAATACTATGTAGTCTTCATACCCCTCAAGTTCATGCTAATTTACCCTGAATATTGAAATAGGAAAACAGGAATTTTAAAAATCTGCTAATGTGAAGGTCATCTTCATGAGGCCGTACCATGTAGAAATTTTTTTGCATTAAGCACTGAACACGCGGAATATGACATATAGTAGGTGTGAGTAAATTTATCAAAGGTTATATATTCAAACATCTTCAGTTTATAGGAGTCTTAACTTAAAATCATTGAAATTGATTGGCTTTGAAGGCTAATTAAAGGCATGGTTATGATAGAGAATGGCATTAACATTTATTGAGGCTCTAGGTATCATGTGTTTCACATTTTGCATAATTAATTAAACAAATATCTGTTAAGTATCACTGTGTGTCAGGTATTTTTCTATATATTAAAGGATAAAGCAATGAGGAAAATTCATAAACACCCATGCCTTCTATGAAGCTTACCTTATGGGACAAGTGGAATGAAGAGTAAGTGTTAATGTTAGGAGGTCAGGGAAATGAATAGGGTTCAGCATAGGAGGTAAGGGATGGTCAGAAATGTAAGTAGGTACCTACAGAGCCCTGAAATCAGAGGAAAGAAAATGTAAACGAAGATGAAAAGTCCTAGATAGTTGATTATAATAGATTAGGACTGAGCATTGGTCATTAGATTTTGCAATATGAATGTCACTGTTATTATTAATATTACGCAGTTTCAGAGGAGAAGTGAGACTAAATCCTAACTGGAGCGGATTCAAGAGGAAACAGGAGGAGATAATTAGTGGATAACCAGTATACACCTCTTGAGCATTGTTTTTAAGGAATGGAAACAAATGCAGTCATTTAGAGAGGGAATGAGAGTTAAGGCTTTTTTTTTTAATTAAATTTTTTTTACAAACAGGAGAGATAATAACAAGTCTAATACTGGTAGAAATAGTCCAGAAGAGAAGGAAAAGTTGAAGTTATTGATAAGGATGGAGTAGGAAGACTTTTGACTATGTCCTCTGGGATCTGCCTTGTATTATGCCTTCACAGGAAACTTTATCCACCTCCTAGACTTGAAACCCAGCTTTTCTCCTAGAGCTGTACTTTTCTCAAAGCCGTTCAGTTTCTTTGGAATCAAGGATTCTTGGTGGGGGCGGGGAGGGACAATGGGAAATACATTTTCTACAAATTCTGCTGAAGCTTCAAAGCTTACACTGTTCAGTACAGTAATCAGTGGCCACAAGGGACTACTGAGCATTGGAAACGTCATGCTTTTCTCTACCTGCACAGATGCTGCACTTCATCCTCATGCTGTTTCTTGCCATTCTGCTTTTCCCCCTTGCTCAGTTCAGATCAAGTTGTCTTTGCAATATGAAGTCATTTTTGATTACCTTGCTGTTTTTTAATGAATCTGATAAAGTTGGGTAAGCAGAGAACACCTGTCAGACATTAGAACGTTTATTGTTTTCAAGGATAGCATTTATCTATTTTCCTTTTTCATCCAATCTCAGAGTCTAGCTATTGATTTTTATTGGCTGAAACACTTTTTCTCAAGATGTGTGCATTTAATGTCAGTTCTTGAAAATTTGATTAATAAAACAGTCATTCTTGTCATATTATCTCTATACTTTTTCTTCTTCATTTGTTTTTGTTATAGAAATGTCCCTTTGGGAAATTTTTAAATATTTCAGTTACAATAATCTTTATTAATAGTGGCCAGCAAAAGGCATAACAGTTACATCATGGACTCCTTCATGGCTGACTATGGTTCAAATCCTGGACCCCAGGATCCAATAGCTTAAAACTCTTGCCAGGGTCATGTGTGTGCATGCCCAAGAGCTGCAGAATGAAGGAGAAGGGATTGCAGCATGGCCTGGGGGATGATCTCTCATCTTCCCTCTCACTGTCTTTGTCTCTCTCTCTCTCTGGCAAGTGCATGCACCCTAAGACAAAAACCTCTAAAAAAAGAAAAAAAAAGATTTTCTAAAAATAACAGTTTATGCTTCCACACATGCTCCATCACTAAGTATGGGAATTGTACATCTCATTAGTGCTCCATATCTTCAGTTTAGGTAATTTTACATTCCAGTGTATTTGCAGTAAAGTTGCATTTGTTTTGGCTTGTTTGCTTTTTTTTTTTTTTTCATTTTGTTTAATTCTGATGATGTCAAACATGTTATTACATCTTTATTGGTTACTTGGTTATCTTCATTTAAGAAATGCCTATTCAAGTTTTATGTCCAGTTTTTCCATTAGCCTTTTCTCACTAATTTGTAGGGTTTCTTTGACTTTTTTTCTGGTTTTGCTTGCTAGAGGGTGTGCATGTGCTGAAGAGAGACAGAGAGATACAGGGAGAAAGTGTCCTCCAGTGGGGCATGAGCATGTGCAGTCCTTCCGCCTCCATTTCTCTACCTTGTCAGGATTTAGGGCATGTGCACACATGCTCTCAGCATGTTTTACAAGCTACCAGGGCAGGATTTGAACCATGGTTATTCATGAGGACCCCACTCCTTTAACCATTAGACTATAGAGCTGATCCTGACTTTTTTTTTCTTTTTTTGTAATTTTTGATTTACATACAATCATCATACATCTTTGTGGGCTATAATGTGGTTTTTCAAAGCATGCATACAGTGTGTGATAATCAAGTTAAGGATATGAACATATTCATCATATTCAACAAAGAACATTACATTCTGTTGTGTACTTTGCTGTTCATTCTACTAGTTTTTTTTATTTTAAGGTATATATTAAATTGCCAATGTCCTTTGAAAATCTGTTGTACACCATTCTATAACCTATTCATCTTGTTTATATGCATTCTTGTGTCTGTTTATCATTTTCTCCCATGTCCCTTTCCTCCCGCTATTTCCCCACCTTTCCGCCTTCAATACTTGTCCTACCCACTTCCCAGCAGTCTCTGGTATCTATTAATACTACTGTTCTAATTCTATGCCATTGAGTCTTTCAGTTTTCCCCTTAGAGTGTGTCCAACATATGAACTATCCTGGAGAATGTTCTGTTTATGCTTGAGAAGAATGTGTAATCCATTTGCTATTGGATGAATTGTTGTGTATATGTCTGTTATATCAACTTCAACTAGAATGCAGTAAGTGATTTTTTTTCCTTACTAATGTCTGTCTGGTCATTGCTGAAAGAAGACTGTTGAAGTCTTGTACTAGGATTGTATTATGGTCTATATTTTTGTTTGATATATTAGTATTTCAGTTATATATTTATGTGCTCTAGTGTTAGGTGCAGATCTGTTCACAATTGTTATAGTCTTTTGCTGAATTGATCCCTTCATCATTATACAAGTACTTATTTTCCTTGTTTTATAGCTTTTTCCTTTGAAGCCTATTTTGTCTTCTGATACTATTTTTTATTTTTTGGCTCTTTTTGGTTTTTATTTGCATGGAGTATCTTTTTCCATCCCTTTACTTTCAGTCTATCTCTTCTTCCTCTTGAACTTTTTTTTTTTTTTGAGAGAGAGAGATTTTTTGCTATCAAGGCATGTGTCCTCACCAGAGAGAAAGAGAGAGACAGAAAGTGAGAAACCACTCCCCAAGGGGAATGGCCATGCCACAATCCCTTCTCCTCTATCCTCCTCTCAGAATTTTGGGCATCAAGTTTCAATCTGCCAAATCTGGGACTTGAACTGCAGTCGACCATGGGGGAGTCCAGTACCTGCTGATTCCCCTCTCTTGAACATTAATTACTCCAAAATCTGTTTTGATGTTGTTCCATAAATTCTATAAATTAATTCCTTTTCATTTCTTTCCTCCTCTGACAGTATAATTTCAAATAAACTTTCTTTGAGTTCACAGATTCTTTCTTCTGCTTTATCATTGTTGCTATTGATGCTCTCTACTGCATTTTTCATTTTGTTCTTTGTGATTTTCAGCTCCAGGAATTCTGTTTGATTTTTTTTAATTGCTTCAATCTGCTAATTTTTTATTCTGGTTAAATTTTTTGCTTTGATTATGTATTGTTTTCCTCATTTATTTAAATTGTTTCTCTGTTTCTTGAAGTTTACTGATATTCTTTTAAACAATTCTTTTAAATTCTTTGTCAAACTTTTCAGACTTCTTTACTTCTTTGATAAGCCACCAGCATTTTGTCACTGGTGATATGTTTCCCTGGTTGTTCTTGATCTTTCAGCTTGAAGAACTCCCTTTATCATTTCCTATAACATAGCTCTGTTGGTGATGAGTTCACTCAGCTGTTTTGGTTTGGGAGTCTTTATCTCTCCTTCATTTTGTAAGCTTTGCTGGGTACACCAATATCTGCACATTTGAAGAAGTAGGTATTTATTCTAGTCTTCATAGGATGCTTTTGTCTAGAAACATTCTTTAACAGTCAGGCTATCCACAGATTCTGGGCAAACCATCTGGCATGGTCCCATGCCTGGATCCTCTGTGGTCATTGCTGTGCTAGGGGAGGGGTCCCTTAAGCCCAGGACCACTGTGGCAGTGCAGCCAACAGGTTGGAATCCTGTGACTGTTGAGTCCAGTGCAGTGTTGGGGTACATCTTAAAGCCCATGGCATCTGAGGTCCACCTGCCAATATAATTTTAAGTCCAAGGACAGTGCAGTTGGTGATGCGAACTACACATCAAGTCTGACTTCAGTGGCTACAGATTCCCTCTTGGTGCTGGGACAAGTCTGGTAACTCCATCCATGGAGTTGAGAGCTGTAGGATTCTGCCCATTGCTGTGCTTTACTACAGCAGGCCTGGTACTGCAGTCAAGGAAAAGTTATATGCTTACTTCTCTCTCTTTCCACAAGTAGAAGGTATCTCTTCTCATACTGCATCATACTGCGCTGCCTGAGGTTGGAGGAAGGGTGAAACAGGTAATGCAAAACTGCCCTTCCTCTTCAATGTACCTTTTCTTTTTATGCTATAACCGGGAACTGTGTTCTCTTACCTGGTTTCCTTAGTTCCTGCGAATGTATTTTCATTTGTGGATGGTTTTTCAAACTGATGTTTCTGTCGGAGGAAAATTGTTAGCCAGTCTTATTTTGCCATCTTGATCCTTCCTCACTTGCTCACATTTCTGATGAACCAATTCTATCTGAAATGTCCTCCCACTTGTTTGATAAACTAGTAATAATCTCCTGTTCAGAGGCCATTCATAAAGTTTTATTTTCTCTTATTTCACAATGGACGTATCATTTTCTCTCTTGTCTTTTTACTTATTTTTCAAAGATAGGGTCTAGCCGTGTTGAGACCTCCTGTCTTGGCCTTCCAGAGCTGGGACTATAAGCATGTTTCACCATGCCCAGCACTTTTTCAGAAAGGATCTCCCTGAGCTTGTGATCTTCCTGCCTGTCTCCCCTAGTTACCAGGATTACAGTTTCATACCACTGTGCCTGGCCATTAGGTTGGACAGAGAATTAAAGCTGGGCCTTGCATATGGTCCCAGCCTGCAGAACACCTCATCTTAGCAGTGGACACCACTGTGGCAAGGCCTTCTCCTATTCTGTTTCAGTTTTTTTTCCTATTTATGCTAATTTATGTATCACATGGTCTTAATTTGTTATTTGTTTGTTTGCTAAAATAAAAATTCCCTATCATCAGGTGCCTTATTAATCTTTGATATTTCAAGATATATTCATCAGCACATAGCAGACAGTGTGAACTAATTGAGCCTGAGCACTGATATTTTTAGAATCAAGAATCTTAATTTACAGTATTAGATAATAATTGGTGAAACACTTTGAGAGATAAAACCAAAACAAAACCTCAAAACAGCCATTTTAAAACACTACGCGTACCTACCGGCATAAGTATTGTTCATTTAGCCTTCCTGAAGTAATATTTTTGAGAGTGAACTGAATTCCAGGGGTCAGCATGTGGCATAGTGGTTAAGGTGCCAGATTCCCACATGGTCAACCACAATTTGAGTCCTAGACCTGGTGGCTTAAAACTCATGCCGTGTGTGAGTGTGTGCATGGCCAAAATCCTGAGAAGAGAATGGAGGAGAAGGGATTGCAGCATGGCTAACCCTCTGGAGGGTGATTTCTCACTCCCTCTCTCTCTATCTCTCTATCTCTCTGCAAGCACATGCAGCCTATAGCAAAAACCTCTCTCATAAATATATAAAAATAAAAAGATAGTGAATTGAATTCTAAACAGATTCCCAGGAAATTCTCCTTATTGTCAAAAGGCAGTCTGGTTGCTTGCTTCTAAAAGCAATTAAACAGCTGATTTAAATAATGATAAGAAGATAGAAGCAAGGGGAATGAAAGGGGAAGATAAACAACAGAGACTTTCAGGACAAAAAAAAAAAAAAACTTTAATAAGGAAGGAGAGGGCAAAGAAAAACAAGAGAATCTACCTTCCAGGCGTTTTGATTCACACTTTATTAAATTAGAAACTAGTTCAGTTAGAAGAACTCAGATTGTGAAATGTGCTTTTTACTTAGAGGGACACAAATTGTTTAAAGTTTTCCTGTGAATTATACAACATGCTTCAAGTTTAAATACCCTGTACTCTAGAGATAATAACAAGTCTTTATGGTCTCTTATGAAAGCTCCATTATGGAGAGCTTACAGCTATTCAGAGTACCTAGATAACAAATTATTTGTAATTATCTCTTATTTAAATAAGAGAAATATTTCCCTCGGAGCCTAGAAAAAATAGGTGTGGAGAAATTTCTTAAACACTGAGGAGAAAATCCATCCTGTTTTGTATTTACTTTTTCACAAAATCTGTGGGCTTTGTAGCAGCTTTGTCATACAGAGATATTATTAGGGTCCATGTCAGGTATACGCATCAGTAAAAAAATCTCACATTTCTATGGTTTTTATAAAGCGGTTTCTACTTCCTCTGAAATAGATGTAAGATTTTCTTCTTGTCTTTCACCCTGAAAAAAAAAATTAGCCTCTTACAAATCGTATCATTTCTTAAAATCACACAAATAGTAAATAGATCATTCTTTTGAAATACAACCACTACTATGTTTATAGAATAAAATGGTCAAGAGTCATTTGTCCTATGTCTGTTCCATTTCCACCTTAGCCTATTTTCTGAATTCCTATTAAGTAATTTCCAATTTTTGGTATGTACTTCCAGACCTTTTTTAAAAATCTGCTAGAGGGTACATGTTCTTATGTGTATGTGTGTGTTTGTGTGTGTGTGTGAGAGAGAGAGAGAGAGAGAGAGAGAGAGCGCAGAGAGAGAGAGAGAGAGAGAGAGAGAAAGAGAGAGGAGGGAGGAAGAGAGAGAGAGAGAGAGAGAGAGAGAGAGAGAGAGAGAGAGAGAGAGAAAAAGAAAGCACCTTGATGGAGCATGGTCACTCCACGATCTCTTCTCAATTTCTCCCACCTTCCAGCATTTTGGGCACGCATGCCTGGTGTGTTCCTAAGCTGCTGAGTCTGAGATTTGAACCAAATGGTTGGCCATGTGGGATCTAGCCTCCTGCACCCCAAGGCTGGCACCAGACTTTTATAATAAAAATGTTTATGGTGTTCTTGAACATAAACAGAGCCTGTATGCCAAACGTCACCCTGCCCTCTCATGGTATTTCCAACTGTTACCTATTCTTTCTCTCTAGGGTACTATCATTTTGACTTTTAGGTAACCAGTGCTTTATTTTCTATATTTCTAGTTTCACCAACTAAACTTGCATCCCTAAACACTATAGTTTAGCTTTAGTTTTGCCTGGTTTCAAACTTCTTATAAAGGGAATAAAAAAATACATTCTTGTTAGTCTTTTAAAGCTCAACATTATATTTGTAATATTCACCCTTGCTGTTAAGTGTAGGTATAGTTGGTTTTTATTGCTAAATATAATTTTGTCAGAGAAATATAGCTCATTTTATTCACCACTCACCCACTTGTGTTGTTTCCACTTTGGGGCTATTATGAATAATACAGCTATAAATATTCCTTGAAGAATATCTTGGTACACATATGCAAACATTTCTGTTGAGTATATACTAAGAACTTAAATTACTGATCCTAAGATATGTACATCTTAACTTTTAGCACATGATGTCCAAAAGCTTTTGAAAATTTTTGCAATAATTTGTATTCAATAATTTGTATCAATAGTACTTACCATTACTTGGAACTGTCAATGGTTTGAAATTTAGTTATTCCATTAAGAACTTAACAATATCTTTGTTGGGCCAGTTGAGATTGAGATCTCACAGAAGAGAAAAAGGGAGTGAGCTGCTGATGGAGGGTAGCTATGAATTTCTTGTTGGTGATTTTTGGCCACTCAAGTGTGCTTTTGAATTATTTTCCTGTCCCATGCGTCTGCCATTGCCTTCCCAAGTCCCACCTACTGGCACAGATCAGAGGAGCGAGCTGCTGGTGGAGGTTAACTCTAACTTTCCTGTTGGTGATTTTTAACCACACAATTGTACTTTCAGATTCCACAGTTCACCAGTCCATGTGCCGATGTATGCTTCTTTCTTTAGTTATATATTTCCAGCACAATCCCATGTACATCTGAGAGGTTGGGAGAGGAACCAAGCACCTGAACCTGGCTAGCTACACTCCACTCTGACTGAAAGCTGCAGCCCTCTACCAAGAACACACCTGGGAAGAAGAGCTGTTTTCTTCTGACATTACAGAATATACTCAAAGAAGTAGAAAGAATCATGTACTTTATCAGATGAGTAAAAGCCAGTGCAGAGGAACAAGAGATATGAGAAAACAAGGAAATACTTCTCCTTCAAGGAAATACAAGTGCTCATCAAACATAGACAGCACAAAATAATTAGCATTAGTGTCAGAAAGATAATTCAGAATATTCATACTGAAAAAACTAAATGAGATGCAAGAGAAGACAGACAACCAACTCCAGGAGATGAGAATGTCTTTCCATGACTTGAAGAAGGAACTCTATAAAGAGAAAGACACAATAAAAAAATTAAACAGCATTTTTAGAGATGAAGACTGTAAAAGAGAAAGTCAAAACCTTCCTAGAAAATATTATTAGCAGATTAAACCATGCAGAAAATAGAATCTCTGATCTAGAAGCCAAAGCCTAAGATAGACAAAACCACCAAAAGTAATGAAAATATAACCAAAAGAAAAAAAAAAAAGAAGACAATGTATGGGAAATAACTAGAAATTAAATTATACAATTAAATGTCTGAATATCCAAATAACTAGTATTCTAGAAGGTGAAGAATCTGATAAAGGAATAGAAAATCTATTCCATGAAAAACTTGTAGAAAACTTTCCAAACCTAGAGAAACATTCAGACATCCAGACCCAGGAATACAAAGGACTCCAAATATTAGGAACAGAATCAACATAAGAAGATCCTCCTGTACCCGCCAGCACATTATAGCCAGATTGGTAAAACTCAGAGACAAAGATAGCATTATAAAAATAGGCAAGAGAAACATCAAGTTACTTACAAAGGTTATCCTATTATTCTAACATCAGACTACTCAACTGAAACAATGTACAGGAGGAAAGAATAGAAAGATATTTTCAAAACAATAAAAGAAAATCAGTTTTAACCAAGAATACTATACCTGGCAAGACTATCCTTCATATGGGAAAAACAAATAAAGTCATTCTCAAATAAACAGAAAATGAAAGAATTCACCAACTCTATACCAGCTCTTCAAGAAGTACTGAATGGAGGGACCAGCAGTTAGTGTAATGGCTATGTCGCTGGACTCCCATGTAGTCAACCATGGTTTGCATCCTGGACCCTGTGGCTTGAAACTCACACCAGGCGTGTGTGTGTGCGTGCCCAAGATCCCGAGAGGAGAATGGAGGAGAAGGGATTGTGGCATGGCCATCGCCCGTGGGGGGTGATTTCTCGCTTTCTGTCTCCCTGTCTCTCTCTGTCTGTCTGGTGAGTGCACGTGCCCTATAGCGAAAACCTCTCCAAAAAAAAAAAAAAAAAAGAGGTACTGAATGGAATACTACATTAGGAAAACTAGAGTTAAACATAAGTAAGAGAACAAGAAAACCAAGAAAGTGACTGATAAAATGGCAGGGATAAGTCTACAAGTTTTGGTAATACTGTTGAATGTTATGGATTAAATTCTTTGATTAAAAGACACAAACTTGCTGAGTAGATTAAAAAAGAAAAGCAGGAGCCCTCTATATACTGCTTAATAGAAACACATCTTATGGATAAAACATACTGAAAGTGAAGGATTGGAGACAGATATTCCATACAAATGGAGGCTGGAGTCACAATTCTGATATCAGACAAAATAGACTTCAGGACAAAAGTGGTAAGAAGAGGCAAAGAGGGACTAGCAGATGAAGTAATGGTTACGTTGCTGGACTTTTACATGACTGACTGAGGTTTGAGTCCCAAACCCAGTAGGCTGAAACTTACTCTGGGCACATGTGCATGTGTGCCCAATATCCCAATGGAGGAGAGGTGATTGGGTGTGGCCATCCCCCCCTGGGGGGTGATTTCACACTTTCTGACTCTCGGGTGAGCACATGCTCCCTATAGCAAAAATCTTTCTTCAAAAAAGAGATAAAGAAGGACACTATATAGTACTAAGAGGGCTAATTCATCAAGAAGATATAACACATAAATATCTATTCACCCAACACTGGAGCACCCAAATGTACAAAAAGAGAGACTGCTAGCTCTAAAAGGAGAGATGAACTGTAACACAAAAATTGTTAGGGATCTCAATCCCCCACTGTCTCCTCTGGACAGATCATCTAGACAAAAAAATAAACAAAAATATTTAAGAGCTAAATTATCCATTAATCAAATGGACTTGGAAGACATCTATAGAATATTTCATCCAACAACCATAAAATACACATTTTTCTCACCCCCCCATGAAACATTTTTGAAGATCAAATGACAGGGCCCAAAACAAGCTTTACAAATTCAAATGTATAGAAACCATATCCAGCATCTTTTCTAATCACAATGGAATTAAACTTGAAATTAACTACAGAGAGAATCCTTGAAAATAAACAAATACATGGAAACTAAACAAAATACTCCCGAGTGACTTCACAACCACTGGAGAAATTAAGACTGAAATAAAAAATTCATTGAAACCAATGATAAAGAACAAATGAATTTTCATAACCTATGGGAGACAGCAAGAAACAGTCATAAGAAGGAAGTTCATAGCAATTAGTGTCCACAAGAAAAAAAAAATAACCCAGAAAGCTGGCAAATAGATAACCTAACAACACATCTCAGAGAACTGAAAAAACAACAAAACTCAAAAAATGCCAGGAAAAAATAAATAAAGATTAGAGCATAAATAAATGAAATAGAGAATAAAAGAACTATACAGAAAATGAATGAAACCAAAAGATAAATAAAATAATCAATGGAACAGATAATATTAAAACAGACCTAGCAGTTATACAAAAAATCATGAGAGACCACTATGCGCTGTTATATGCCAACAAACAAGAAAACCTAGTTGAGTTGGGCAAATTTCTGGACACATATAATTTACCAAGATTGAACCAGGAAGAAGTAGGAAGCTAGAACAGACCAATAACAAGCAATGAGACTGAAGCAGTAATAAATAGTCTCCCAGAAAAGAAAATCCCAGGTTCTGATGGCTTCACTTCTGAATTCTACAAAATTTTTAAAGAAGAACCCTGATTCTCCTCAAACTATCAATAAATTTCTAAAGATCCAAAAGGAAAGAGCCCTCCCAAATTCATTCTATGAAGCCTCCATCACCCTGATTCCAAAAACAGACAAGGACATAATAACAAAAAAGTTAACTACATACCAATATCCCTAATGAATACAGATGGCAAAAATTTTCAACAAGATATTAGTGAGTCATATCCAACAATACATTGAAAAGATGATACACATGACCAGGTTGGCTTTATTCCAGGGATATAAGGGTGGCTCAGCATATGCAAAACAATAAATCAAAT